AGAAAGAAGGGAAACTACCCTCTCTACACAAAAGCCACAGCTAGCAAGAGTCATTGGTAAACTTACAAATAAAGTTGGTATTTATTTGCTTGTTTTTTTCCGCTAATCTTACCCAAAAAGGGATGGCAAATCCTATTTCAAACTTCAGTTTCTCCCCTTTTCTCAGTTGCTGGCCAAACTCCACAAAATAAAACCAAAGAAAATGATAATTATGCAACATTCAGAACAAAGAACATAAGAATATATTTTTTAAATGATTCATTGTGCACTTATGCCTGTAATGGGATTTTAACGCACTGTAAAAATAAGTGCCCTGGCTCACTTAGCTTCTCACGCAAATGTAACACAGGGAGATGAATAACTCGAACATGGGGCAGGTTTTCTTTTTCAGGGGACGAAGTGTGAGAGGAAACCACGAAGTATAAAGAAACGTATGTTTCCTAATCACTGACAGGGCAACACAGTCTATCGCTATGATTCCACAGCTAAGAGGGTCCTGAGACCTCGGAAACAACTAAAGCCTGAATGAAGTTGCGGTCCCAGAGGATGGTCCCTTTTCCACTTTGCACACCAAGTCTCAGCTTCTAGAGAGAGGGGATGGCAAGATGAGGAGAGAAAATGTAACCAAATAAGATTCTTAGGCCATCTTTGGGAATTACATTTCCACCATTTGCCTAAAAGACGTGTCCAAGATGTAACTCTTAACAACTGTCGGCGTAGCGTGTTGCTATCTCACATGAGTACACACACATACATGTTTCTCTTTGTCTCGCTGAGCCTGACATTTGGCCAGCAGGTTTTTCTCCCCCTTATTTGAAATCTCAAGCACCAAAAAAATTTGGATCTGATTATTTCCGGATCGCAGGACCAGCACTTTAAAATGGATGAAATGCAAGCAAATTGCCCACCAAAGCCCGAGGGGGTAAATGCTTTCAAAATAACTCATACCTTTCTGTTCCGGATGTGCTACCCCTCCAAGGCTTCCCCAGAACATCACATTGGCTTCTGATTCAGAAGAAGCAGCTCCACCAGGTAACGCTACCAAACCAGCACATCTACTCACCACCAGCAGCCCCTAATGTCCACGCGGACACCTACGATTGCTTTCCTTTTTTGTTTTCCTTAAAAACATGTGTGTGTGTTTTCTAGCTTTATTTTTTTTAAGTTACAAAGTTGACTCCTTTTTGGCATTTACAGCCATGTAGTGACGGCTGGTTACTAACGGCAGAGTCCACATTTGTCATATCATCAGCCACCTCTTTATTACAGGGACATGTCCTGTCTCAGTGCACAGGGAAAAGTGCCCAGCAAGTCTCTGAATTAAAAAGCACACTTACTATCTGGTTTGGTCTGAGAACAGCAACTCTGGACAAACAGAATCATCTGGTAAACTAAGATGTTTTCTAATGATGGCATAGATACAACTTACCAATTTGCAAAGGTTCAAGGCAGGAAAAAAATAGCAAAAGCAAAAATATTTTTTAAATTCTCTGGGAATGACCGGGAAGTCCTGGTGAACACCAGCTCTCGGCCGACAACACACACATGTAGACGGCATAAGTAGTAGAACCAGAAATGCACACTGGGAATAGGCAACCTTTAAAACTGCCACTTACTGCCTGTAGCTTTGAGCACGTCCTTGAAACTTAATGTCTTTATCCATAAAATGGGAATCACAGTAATGAGCCAGTATTTGCCCAGCACTCTACAGCTTGTGAAGCACTCCCACGTCTGCTCCCCCAAAACAGCCCACCAGGTGGGCAGAGCACAGCTGACGTGAGGGCAGACGAGACAGTGTGTGGGAACACACACTGAACATTGCAAAGCTCTATGCACGGGAAACAAGAGTCATCAGGCCATCACCACAAAGCCGACCGCCTCCATAAAGCCCAGATGTTTACCTTCTTTCCTTGTCAGGACTTCCAAAAGCAGAGTGTCGGGTGTTTAATAGTAAAAAAGAAAAACACAGCATCTGGTAATTTGGCCTTTCCAGCTGTTTGGAATCTGGATAAACGGGACTCTGCCATAAACAGATCGTGATTCTTACTGTAAATGATGATAATGTTAGTGCATGACGCTGCACCATCCCCAGTGCCTCCTGACTCCAGATCTGGAAACACAGAGGACCTCAACATTTATGGACAAACTGTGGGCATTCAAGACCTTGCTCCCTTCCTCGGCTTGGGGTCTGCCATGGGCAGAAGGCAGATCATCTGAAACCTGACTCCAGACCAAGCAATACTGTCTTCACTCCACTCACTGAGCAGCGGTGGCCACAAAAGACCTGAAGCTCTGTTCCTCTCAGCTTCCCCTGGCTAGCACACTAGTTAGTGCTCTTCCCATTCAGCATTTAAAAAATTGAACCTTTCTCCCTTTTGGCCCTATCCCCTTTATCTGTAGTATTACGGACTCTAGCATGGTGCCCTGCATGAATTACTTTTTTTAAAAAATCCTTCTACCTTTCTAATAAAGCATTCTTACAACCCTTGTTTCATTTACCCTGGGAGGCAAGCATTATTACCTCTCATGCAAATAAAAAAACAGAAGTTGACCTGATGCACCAAGGTTGTGGGTTTGATCCCTGGTCAGGGCACATACAGGAATCGATCAATGAATGCATCAATAAGTGGGACAACAAATCAATGTTTCTCTCTTCCTCCATTACTCTCTCACTTTCTCTAAAATCAATAAATAATAAAAATTTTAAAAAGACATTTAACACATTACAAGAGTAAATCTCCCAAATAATTAGGCACCGAGGCAGGCCTTCTACACCATATCCCTAATGCTTTCCTCGGTCTTTGAAAGTAAATCTCCCGGTAGATTTACAAATGAGCAAACTAAGGCTCAGAGAGTGAAATAACTTCCCCCAAGGTCCCACAGATCATCCGTGGCAGGGTCTAACAATTTCCAGCACAGTCAATAAATATTTTTCAATTGGTATTTCTATCTGTCTGTTTCCAATAAGCCTCAGATTTGAAGCCAACACCAAACATTCAAAGGGTTATATGGTCTGGGGGATATTTTGGTGGGAATAAGGACAATAACAAGGTGCCATTTCCTTATGGCATTCGAACCAAAGCTCTGGTTTTCTCTCAGGCCACTTGTGAGGAAGAAGTTGCCCAGACCAACAGAGGCTGGGTCAGAAACCTCTAGAAACCTCTTCAAGCCCAAGTCCATGAGTGATGGGTTGGCTAGAAAACCCGACCCAGACCTGCTGGGTAGCCTGTTACATATGAGACACTTCTCCACCCTCAGGCCTCAGTTTCTTCATCTTTTAATTGGGTGTGATAAATCCTACCCCCACCAGCCTGGCCGAAGGCTCTGTAGAAAACCATTTAGAAGACTCTTACAAAAATCGTAACCAGAAAGATCGTCTTACGGTACAAAGAAAGAGGTTCCTCCTCCCAGCTCTTTATCCTCTCTGTCCTTTACGAATACAGCCCTAACTTAAAGATATATCTTAGACACTGGGGGAAAGTGTGTGGATAAAAATAATTGGGGTTTGGAGGAATGGAAGTGGAAGATCGTACACGAAGCATCTAGATGAAAGGTCTCTAACCACAGCGTGGAACAAAGGCTATGTTTGACAGGCACTCACTAGTTCTGCGGAGACTCCATCTTCAGAGGACAACTACAATTTTTTTAAAACCTGAAACACTGCAAGAGCATATCTGTGTGAGGGAGGACTGTGTGTGAAGAGGGCAAGCCCGGGAGCTGAGGGCAGCGAGCACTGCTCACGTCTTGCTGCACAGCATTCTCGTCTCTCTCTCACTAGTACAAGACAGCCTCATAAGTGTGACCCAGCAATAATACTCTAAAGGTGGTTTTCCATATCTTCCCTCTAAAATATGACCTCTGTGTTTCGGAAAAGAGACTGACATTTAAAACAATAAGAAATAGCTCCCTCCTACAACATCAGGTGTTTTCATTAAAAAGGAAAAAAAAAAAAAACTTTACATTTATTTCATCTTGCCAGTCCCTGAATTGGGAAGTTGGGTATTTTTTACCCAGAAGGAGCTCTCTAAAAGTAAGTTGCTCTGCCTTTTCTAAGTTGTTGGAGCCGATGCTAAAAGCGTGATAAAACAAACTGTTTTTGTCTTCCTTAAGAAGCCTCTGGAAATAGAACTAAGAGGCCTCAAACTCCAAAAGAATGAAAGCCCAAAGCCTTGGGTTTTTTTTCTCCCAGAGGAAAAAACGGGTGGGTGGGGAGTGGGGGCACAATGCCTTAACAATTTCCCCAATTTCTAGTTAATTATCTGTCAACATGAAACTTATAAATAATGGCTCAGTAATAATTAACTGTGATGAAAACACGTTCAGAAGAACCCTGCCACCATCGCCAACTTGGAGCCCATCAACCGCACTGAGGCCTGTACCTCCCACCCACTGGCCTCACTGGGCAGAGCAAGAGTATTCCAAAGGAACTGTCTACCGAACACTGTGCATCTGCAACTTCAAGTACAGAAAAGCCATTTTTCAAGTCAGAACTTGACTCAGGCTATATCATAGATTAATAAAATTTTCCATCGGGAATCCAGAAATCATCTGGTATAATTAATTCCTTTCTTGACAGACAGGGAAACTGAGATCCCAAGAGGGGAAAGGTCTTGCTGAAGCCCCTTCTGGTTTTTGTTATTTAGGGAAATTGGAATACTTCGAAAAATGCCTTCACCCAGCTCAGAGAGGCGGACACTCCAGTGACTGGCTACTCAACCCAATAATAAGATTTTGACAAATTTCACACAACTTTTATCACAAACAAAATCATGTAATCGGACGTTTTCTAGACCCAGTTCCCCACAATAGGTTCACTGAGTTTAAAACAGGCATCGCTTTAGAATGACAAGCTAGTACCAAACAAATGGAGAGAAACTGATAACCTCAGAGAAAGCTCCACCAAGTTCTCCGGCGGATTCCTACAAGGGTGGAGGTGGCGGCACCAGGCAACCAAATCTCTGCACACTCGCTGCCGCGAACGATGGCAGGGCCAGACTTACCCTTTCCCGTGGCGGCCTTGGACGGACCATAGTCTCGAGGGCTCCGGGGCCGGAGGAGGTCGTGAGCGCGAGGGGGTGGCACCGTCGGCCGGGACAGCAGGTCACGACGATCCACATCCCCGCAGCCACCACTGCTCACAGTGACCCTAAAGGCCATGTGCGCGCTGAGGCCTGCCGGCCCACGGCCAGGACCAGGAGCACCGGGTGCCTCCTTCGGCCTCTTGTCTGAGTGCGCTTCGGCCACTTCGCAGTGCATGGCGCTGGAGCGGGGCGCACTGATAGGGGTCACGTCGGGTTCCTAGGGAGAGAAAACAGCACACGAGCATTAGAATGAGCGGGGCAGCTCCCTTCCCGTCCTGGGGCCGAGGTTTGGGCAGATCACCACCACCCCTCGGTTTATTCCTCCCTGTAAAATGGGCTAGCTCCACACATTTCGCTTAACCTGACAAACCCACCTGATCCTACGCAGGAGCGGCTCATAATTTCTTCCCTAGCAAGCAGAGGGTCCCAGCCAGCAGCCGCCAGACTAGTCATTCCCAGAAGCCTCTACACCTCACACCAAATACGCCCCCACCGAGACCAGCCCTCCTAAGACGAATGGGGAAACAGAGGCCTGGAGAAGGGAGGGTGCTTGTGTGGCACCAGGTGAGATTGCGAGTGACCGGCAAGGAAGATTCCTGGGGCAGGGTCTGCCCCCCAGGCGGTCCGCGACTAGGCTGTGCAAAGGGATCGCGGACTGCGCACTCACGGATCCCAGGTGCAGACCCTCCGAGATTCACCTACCACCACCCAAGACTGGGAAATCCCAAAACTGGGTCTCCGAACAGGAGTCCGTGGATGGGCGCTCACTCCCGTGAGGCAAACCCATCACAAGCACACCTAGATTCGCGCACTCCTACACGCAGCCAAGAACTGAGCCCCTCGCGCTCACAAACTCGCACAAAGTCAGTAGCGCCCATGCACGCACACTCCCACGCACACCACGCACCCCCGCAACTGCACATTCAGTGACACAACTACCACACAAACTACTCTTTCATTCATCTTCTCAGACACTGAGCAACACTAGCAGCCGCACTTACTCACACTACACAGTCGCGGTCTGAGTCCCCCTCCACAGAGTCTCCTGGAACGAGGGCCCGGGAACCCCCAAACTCTCCTTTCCCCTTTGGTGCTACCCGCGCCACCCCGAAGCTCTTCAGATTTGAGCGTCGCTGGGTACAGCAGCCCCCAGATCTCTGGCCTAGGCATTCGGGCCCCTCCCCGTGCCGATCCTCCTCTCACCTCGCACCGGCAACAGCAGCTCGCGGGGCTCACGGCTCACCGCGCCTCAACTGGCGCCGCAACCCCCGCAGCAGCGGCTTGCAGCAGCGCAGCGTCCTGCGGGGCGGCACCCGGAGTTGGGGAGAGGGCGGGGCTAAGGCCTGCCCGACAACCATTCTGGCCAGTGTATCATTGAGGCTGCCCCATCAAGACCAATTGTATCTCGAGGGCGGGGTCTCCTCGCTTGGGAGGGGCCTGGGAGGGGCTCAGCAGAGCGTTTGACAAGCCTTAGCAACCAGAGCCCAGCTCTGCCCGCCGCCCTGCCGCCAAAGAGCGGGCCAGGCCAGTGGGGCGGCGCCACTGGTGACAGAGTCTAGGCTCTGTCGTTGGGACTGGCCCGGGCTGGGCGGTGGAAAGAGAGACTTGGGCGTCAGGAGAACCAGCTCAGCCCGACTCTGCCTCTGTCTCTCCCAGTGGCTGGGGCAGGACCCTACTGTCCCCAGTCAGTTTTCTTCTCAAATGGGAAGGTTGAAACCTAAGGGAGAGGTAATAGATGTAAAAGCTCTTTAACAGTTTTCTTGCAGAACCCAGCCTACTCACTGAGCTCGCACAGATTTCACAGCGAGTTAGAAGCAAAATTGGGACTCCAAGCAAGATCTCTCAGATCACTTCTTACGTTTCTATTTTTGTGGTGTTTCTTGCCAGAAGAAGCCTTGGGTAAAGGGTGTCAAACTCCAAACAAAAAGGGCAAACAAGCAAAAACCGAATCCGGGATCCCGACTAGAAAATAATTCCAAACTGAATCTGCGAAACTGTCTGGGAGTAGGGCCCCAGCGCCTGGAATTTTAGCGAGGCCCTAGGAGAGGCTTACAGCCCTGGGGGTTGACACCCATTCATTTAAGTTCCTCCTGAGCCTGAAACTGGGTTCCCCTACATTCTGGGCTCCCCTCACAGACGGCAGTGTCTCCATGAGTCCTGCCCAATCTGTGGAAAGAACACTGGACAAAAAACAAAGCTTCAGGGTGACTGGAAGCAGTGGCTTAGTTCCCTTCTCTGAGCCTCAGTTTCCTCCTGTGCAAAACAGGGTTGTTCACCCAGACCCAGGGTGTCTGCCAAGGTTACTGGAGAATGGGGCAAGGTCTCTGAGATGGTCCCTGCATTTCATCCTGGCCTGCCTCCTCTGCACTCTTTGCTGGTGACTTGGGAGGGCTCCAAGGTTCTGTCTGGCTTCATGCTCTTGGAAGGAAGGGGTCTGTCTGTTTGGCCCTGGCCTCAAACTGAAAAATGTATATGGACAAGTCTTACAACACAGGATTCTGCAGAGTAGTATACCTTAAGCAGCATTCCCAGAGTCTTCCAAAGCCAGGATTTTAGCATCACAGAATCCTAAAATCTGATTTCCTATAAGTGATTAAACATAGCATCTTACCTTAGAGAGCAATAATGATAGGAAGGACCCTGGAAATCGAGCTAGACCCACCCCACATGGAGAGGGTAGAGGATGTGACTGGTGCACAGCATTATGGTAGGTGTGGCAGAACCGGTGCTGGAATCCAGGCCTTCAAACTCCCAGTCCAGGGCTCTCCCTCTCTACCAACCACGATGCTCCTAATAGGTACAAGATATCAATCAACCCCTCCCATACACAGGCCAAGGGCCAAGGCCTGCCTGCATAGGGCATCTGAAAGACTTTGCCTCTGTCTGGGGATTTAGATTTGGAGATAGTTGCTACTTTCATGGCAGCAGAGGAAGAAGTAGAAAGAAGCAGGTAGCTTACCAAACCCCACACACACACACACACACACATGCCACCAGGTGCTCCTCCCTCTCCCCCAACACACTTCTGAAATTCCAGTGCTGGCTCATACACTTCAGAGCTTTGTATATGATGTTTCCTATGCTGACACTTTTCTTTCTTGCCCATCTTCATACTCCTTCCTATGAGTCATTCAATGTGGCTTTAGGCAAATCATAACCTCAACTTGGACCTCAGTTTTTCCCTCAAAAAGTGAGAAGGTAGAAGAAGATCATTGGCCTTTGGTTCAGTGAGCCCAGGAGCTGAGTTCTCTGCCCTTCCTCCCTTGCCACATACATACACTCACATCACTGGACACTGAGAATTCTGAAAACATTTGCTGAATAAGTCTCCTAACCAACTGGAACTGCAGGTGAAGGCCTCTGAGTTTCCAAGATGCAGCAACAGCTCATTCAGTTATTCTTTACTGGGCAGCTACCCTGAGCCAGCCCCCATACCTGAGCTAGGGATATGGAGGTCCTGAGTCTTCCCCCAGTGAATAGTACACAGACCTGCCCCTCCAGGACCGTTGGGTTTGTGAAGCCTGGCAAAGCAATGAGAAAGTTAACCTGCTCAATAAAATGGACTTCTTAAAAACACTGTATATCGCAGGACCCTTTGGGGATATACAGAATCCAGTGGGTATATGCATTTTGTTTTCCTAGAAGGAAACACAAGAAAGTGTTAATAGTGGTTAAGGGAATAGAGGACCAGGGGAAGCCTGTACTTTTCATTTTATACTTTTCTGAACTGTGTATTTTTTTACCATATATAGTATCCTCCCTCCCTTTCAACAGGGGCCATTTAAGTAGTAGGATTATAAACTCTATTTATATTTTTCTTTAAACTTTTGGTATTAAAATAAAACTCATTAATATTTTAATTGTCAATAACAAAACAAAGCAAAACAAGCAACACCCACTCCTCCCTTTAGCAGACCAGACAGTAATGTGTGCTTTTTTCCATGCCACGTTCCAGTTCAAGCTGTCCTTTGCCCTCCGGTCCCACGTACAGTCCAGCCTGTCTACGGGGTATCTCCATGTGGGTCCCTCTGCAAAAGCAAACATCGTGCTTTCTTCTCTGACTTTGCTCCCCATCCCAATGTCTCTACCTGAGTGAATGGCCCCATGGTCAAGTCCCCCAGGTCAGAAATCTGAGAATCATCCAAGGCCCCTGCTCTCCCACACTCCCATATCTGATTTGCTATAAATCCACTTACTGAGCACCCCGCTTTTATCCTCTCTACTACATTTCTTCCCAACTCTTCTTCCCACTGCCAGCCTCATCTTACTCCCTGTCATTCAATTTCCACCCTGGTTTCCCTATGAATCTCTAAACCATAGATCTGACGATGAAGTCACTTCCCTGTTTAAGCCAATGATCCCAGTAGCCACCTAAATAAAGTCAAATCATTTTCTCACCCTACCACTTAACACAAGCCTATGTTCCAAGCAACCTGGAATATTTTTGCATCTCCTAGAAGCCAGAACATACGCTCATGCCTTCAGAGCTTTGTATATGATATTTCCTGTACTAACACTTTTCCCTCTCATTCATCTTCATCCTCTTCCCTCTGAATCATTTAATACCTAGCTCAACTGTTGCTTTTTCACAGAAGCTTTCCCTGAATCCACTGGCTGGAATTATTTTCTTCCTATACACTCTCACAGCCATCTCTGCTTCATTCTATCTCAGAACTTCTCATACTGTTTTATAACTACCTATTTAACAGTTTGTCTCTCCTTCTAGATTGAGAGCTCTCTAAAAACAGAGGTAGCCTTTTGTCTTTGTAACTTCATAACCTAGAACAGATTCTGGCACAAAGTCAGCACTAGATAAATGTTTATTGAATGCTGATTGAATTATTAAAGACTGGCCAGTACTTCGTTTGTTTGCCTGAATTTCTAGCTAAGTACTTTGTTACCATAACATGTTCTTTCTCCGCACCATTGTGCAAATGTCGAAAATAGACATTTCTGTGTGTCTAGGGTCTTCTGTGACCTAGAGATGAGAGGAAGGAAAAGAAACGGAGGTGACAAATGTCACACTGCTTACCCGGCCCTATTTCCTGCAGCAAGGGGAGAAGTGACATTCACCAGGGAAGCTATTGTGCGCCGGGTCATATCGCCTCACATTCTCTACATGTGACTTCATTTTATCCTGACATCTTGATAGAAAGAGGTCATTTCCCCACTCCTACAGGTGAGAAAATAAAAGTTCAAAATCAAGTGATTTGCTGAAGTTCTCAGTCAGGGGTGCCTGCCTTTCCTACATCTATGGCCAACTGAATTTGGGGAAGAATCCCAAGACCGCTCATTGAGGAAAGAATAATCTCTTCAGCAAAAGGTACAAAGACAACAGGATATCCACATTTAGATGAAGTTGGACCCCTACCTCGTACCATATACAAAGGAAAAAAACCCAAAACTCAAAATGGATCAACTTTCTAAAAACAAGAGGTAAAAAACCATAAACACTTAGAAGAAGAATATACAGGGGTAATCTTTGTGACATTGGATTTGGCAATAGATTCTTCGATGTGACACCAAAAACACAAGCAACAAAAGAAAAAATAGGACTTCATCAAAATTAACAACTTTTGGGCATTAAAGGACAATATGAAGATAGTGAAAAGACAACCTACAGAATGGAAGGAAATATTTGTAAATCATACATCTGATAAGGGTCTAGTATTTGGAATATATATAGAACTCTTACAACTCAACAATTAAAAAGACAACCCAACCAAAAAATGGGCGAGGGGTTTAAATAGACACTTCTCTAAAGAAGATACACAAATGGACACAAGTACATGAAAAGATACTTAACATTATTAGTCAATAGGGAACTGCCAATCAAAACCACAATAAGATATTACTTCATACCCACTTGGATGGCTATAATTAAAAAAAAAACCAAACAAGTGTGGGCAAGAATGTGAAAAAATTGGAACCCTCATACATTGCTGGTAGGAATATAAAATGGTTCAGCCACTGTGGAAAACAGCTTGATGGTTCCTCAAAACATTAAACCTAGCCCTGGCTGGGGTGGCTCAGTGGATTAAGTGCTGGCCTGCAAACCAAAGGGTCTCCAGTTCAATTCCCAGTCAAGACACATGCCTGGGTTGTGGGCCAGGTCCCCAGTAGGGGGTGCACCAGAGGCAACCACACATTGATGTTTCTCTCCCTCTCTTTCTCCCTCAGTTCCACTCTCTCTAAAAATAAATAAAATCTTTAAAAAAAAAACATTAAACCTAGAATTACCATATGGCCCAACAATTCTTCTCC